ACTACAACTATTAATGGGTAAACGTTTGTTAATAGCGCATGAAATTATATGTCATCTATTAGATCGTCTCTTTTTAATTATTACCAGCCATTACTTTTTTATTTTTATCGTAGTGAAATATTCGTTTTTCACTTGATACACTTTTGTTAAGTATCGAACTATTTGTTTTTTTACCTCCTGTCCCGGCGACCGCATAAATTCGATCTATTAACTGTTGTTGATATCGCCGTGTTTTTTCAATCAAGTCAAGTCTTTGATCCATTTACACATAAGCTGAGCTCTTAATAGAAATTCTCGCTGGACAGTTAGAGCGGCAACGTGTTTTTTCTGGAAAATTAAAAAAATTCCATCTATGTCGTGATGATGGTGTGTTATTGTTGTTACTCAGTCAATTCCCTCCGGATATTATGGGTCACTAATACACGTTTAACTGTGGTGTTGACGGTGTACTTCCTGGAAGTAAATGGACGTTTCCGGTCGCGGTTAAATCCGTCGCTAATGGCATTTTGACGGTTAAGTCTTCATGTTATATTTATGTTTCCGAAAAGTTATGGTTCATTGGTTTAACCAATCGGGTCACGAAAATGACCTAGTAGTTATTTCCTTAACTATCTTCTTATCGACTTTGTTAACTGATATTGTTAAGTTTTGCATTATTCGGTTGCATATATTTTTTCCGGATATTTAAAACTAATTTTTAAACATATTTAAGTTAGGTGCTATTTGCACGGAAAACAAAATGATTAAAATAACCATATAAACCGGTCAATATAGTGACAACACTTCATTTAAGACAGTTGGAATAACTGAATATTCAGTTAACCCAAATGTTTATTTAGTTATTGCTACAGTTTTTGTTGAATTGTCGCTAGACTAACCGTTCGTTTTTTCCGCGTGTGTGACACTTGTAAAAATTATTTGTTCTTTTGCGTTTGCTGTTAGATTTCCATGTTTCACATGGACTCCGGACAAATTCATGATCACCGATAATTCTGCCGTCAGTCAGCTGATGATGAGGTTTAAAACACTGGTTTGTCGAGTTCTTATTAGAGCATTGTTGTTATTATATTTTTGCAAATCACGTGCACACAATCAACACAATTATGTGGGCGTCCACGTTCGTAACCAGTTAGAACTGTGCCAATTCTGATTATGTTGAGGTCTATATACGCGTGCTCATACGAAATTGTGTATGTTATCGAAACCGTTTAATTTTTCTGTTGCGATTTGTGATTGTTTCGTTCGTGTGTCACGAGTATGTGTCGTCTTATCAGGTTATGCAATATCGCATATATTTGTTGTTTAACGTCCTAGTTGCATTTCGATACGTTTAAGGCGATAAGGCATCGTTGTGCTTATATTGTGATGATACACACACGACTATTGATTGGTTATTGGAAGCGCCGATGTGTCATGCGGATGGTGGTTTTACAGTTTTATTTGCTCGCGTGGAAGAAAAATCTTAAGAGTGAACGAATATCGTCGCAACTACGCATGATTTATACACTCGATTTATCTTTAGGTTCAAATGACAAATCGCTGTTTTGTTCAATTTTTATCGTTGTTGCCTCGCTGTTGTTTTTGAACAACGTAAATGGCGTACATCGACATTCAATGTTTTACCGACTGCGGCAGCAGTACCAACGTCGTTGTTGGTGGCACTACTCATCTACACATAACAATCTCAAGGTCAGTAGTTCTTTCACCTGGACGACGCCGGCCGACCGGTTGGCCTTGAATTCCTCTACAACGTCACCCGTACATTTACACCGAACACAAGATGGCAGGAGGATCAACTTACTAAAGAAGAAAAACAACGTGTTTTGTATTTCCCCACTCGCACGGTTTTTATTTTTTTGTATGACCGTTTGTTTTTTGAATATACGGGTCCGGAATGGTACTACTTTTGAAGTGGTGGTTGTTGCTTGACGACGGTATTCACCGTCCGTTTCTAATAATATCCGCCACGACAGAGTATGATTTTTTTTTTTGTTCGCTGATTACTCGTCACTCCATTTTTAGAACTATAATTACCATCGCTGAATGCTGTTGCGTTCTGAAAATAGTTTATTGTTGTTGTTATCGGTGATGTTACTACCGTTGCGTGATGTAGCATTAGGTGCTATAGCTTCACTAAGAACATCCAGCTAATGCCAAGAGGAAAGGCTATATATAATAATAATATTATGTGATGCATGTCGCGTGCACATGTTTTTCTATGTTTTCTTTGTTGGTTTCTTATTGCCGCCGCCTCACGCTTAGTGTCATTTCTTGGTCAGCGACGCCTAAAGAAATTATTTAAAAAAAAAAAAAAACTTAGAATTGTGGCTCAATGCGTTGGCACTCGACCGCCATTTATTTACGTTAGCTGTCTTTATCTTTATTTACTAACAACATTCATGTTGTACACCTGCTGCTATCTGATCTTATGATTTTTTGTAAAATTTCAAATAGTTGAATGATTTTATTTTTTTAGTAATTAGTAGTGTAATAGATTAGTTGTTCGCGCCAGCAAAATATATTTTTTAAGGGGCCTCACTGAAGACTGATATTTTACACGCCAATTGAATGAATTTAATTAAAAAAGCGTGTATTTGCTTTTGAGAACAGGTGCACTTTGCTTTTCATTGAGCTCGGGTCGATTACCTCATTAATTTTATTGTTGAGAAACTAGAATTAACTTAACAATATAATATATTATTGTCCTTGACGGCAGCTGACCTCGTCTAATTATTTATGTATAAAGAGTTAATGCGAATATATTACTTGATAATCTTAGCTCGTCAACATGTTATCTCCACAGTGTCTTGTAAAAGAATATTGTAATAAATTTTTTTTTTTTATCGTTCGAGATGTCCAATACCTCAATAATTTCCTTAAGCGCTTCATGTGAACGTTTAAGGTTGTGCTTTGGTCACGTGAGAGCGGTTTCTCTCTTCTGTCATTGTTTTGTGGCAATCGTGTTAAATTATCAACATAAACAACACGTTTTTCATGAATAATTCAATAAAAACCGATGGGCAAATTAACGTTAGAAAATACTCGTGTGTTAGGTGTCCATTTGTTTATAAGCTTTTCGAGTATTTATGAAATGCCTTCATGATTACGTCATGTAGTGCGTACGACGTATTGTTTTTACGGCAGTACAATGTACACGAACGTTCATTACATAACTAGGTGATATTTCCATCGTAATCAGAGAAACTGTTTTTTTTTCGACGATGTGTGGATTTTGTTTTAATAATATTGTAAGTTCTGGGGAAAGTTGCTAGGGGTGTTAACAGCTGTTATTCTTCTGGTTGTTCCTTTCATTTTATAATATTGTTCATTGGAAATCCCGTGTACCCCTCAATCACTCTCCGCCACTACCTAGTATGGTCTCTGTTCATGAACGTGTCATGAAATACTGGTCATTGTAGACCTACTTAGTTGGAGTGCCGCCAAGTTCTAAGAGTTCTAGTTTTTCGTAACAAAAAAAAAAAATTATCAATCTACTTCATCGTGAAAGTTAACGTATACTCGATTAATTTTCTTAATGATTCGAGATGAACTAATTTTTTTCTCTGGCTAAATGTAAAATTTAACTATTGTTAAAAAGAAACGGAAAGATCACATTAAAATACTAAAAAAAGTGTTATGGAAATTTTATTGTCTTAGTAAATTAAAAGGGCTATATTATTTGGGAAATAGTGGTGTTATAATACATTAAATGTTTTTTTATTATTATTGTTTTTGTATATGCCTCTTTTGTGTGTTTGGGTTATAAAAGGCCAATGACTTATGGGAAATTTAAGCAAAAGTAACATTAATGACAACACGTGCGTCTCCACGAGTCATTTTTTATATGATATTAATCGATTACACTTTCAAAACTAAACGGTAAACCATTTGGCCTACAATTGCTTAAATTGCATTTAGTCTTTTATAAATTAGAGATGTAGACATCAGCTTAGGCTATTATAACTCATGACTTGGACACACCACTTGACAAATATTTGTTTTTTTTTTTTACTAGCCTGCGTGTAACAACACTCGATTGACGGGTAACCTAGGCAACACGACAACAGCTGTTCTTATAGTCTCGTGTTGTTTTCCTGCTGCTAAACTAACGCAAATAAGTTTTATGTATCAAAAATATGGATATTTATGTATCTTAATTTCATTTTGCAATATTTTATTTCTTAAGTTATAATTTAAAAAATATTTTGATATTTCAAGTTTCATTTTTTAATTAAAGGAAATTAATTTGTTAGTTTTACTTAAATTTTTTGAGTATTGAGTTGTCTGCGATGAACGGGTCATGATTATTTAATATTTATGAAAAAGTGGCACACACGTGTACCCTTTTTTTCGTTTGCCCCCTCACGCCTTAAAATGTATGTGTTGGTGTCATGTTAATAACTAATGTTTCGATGTTTGTTACTTTCCTGTCAAATTGATGTCTGCATCGAATTATAGCCACGTGTACCATTATAATTATTATTTATTTGGAAAAACTAGATTTTTTTTGCATTTTTCATTTGGTTTTTATTCGTACAATTCCAAGAAATTACTTGGTGCTGAAAAAATGATCTGTTTTGTAGCTGATGCTGTTTATTATTTTTATTTTGTGCGTTCAACAAGACTATTGATTTATTACCTTACACCATTTTAAAACTTCAATATTTCTCCATTATATCTAACAAGTTGTAAGAAATGACGCTACTGGTGTGTTTAGACGCGGATGAGCTATTGCGTTAAGCCTCTTGCACCTGTGTAAATCTATCGATGTCGCTATTTTCAAAAATGTTATCACGTGGTTTTCTTTTGTATGTTCAACTGCCTTATGATTGGGTTATAAATTGCGTATGCATTATATTTGATCATATACCCTCCCCTCTTTTTATACCACCCTTTGAAGTAAGAAGCGGGATGAATCTTTCTGACAAGTTTTGATTTAGCGGATTTTTTTCAATGATACGTTTATCGAACGCTATAATGGTGATTTTTTTTGTTCATAGGCCGCCATACTTCAACACACGGCCGACTATATTTACCAGCTGGAACAAGAGAAAACGAGACTATTGTCACAAAACTGTCAACTGAAAAGACTGGTGAGCAAGCAGGAAGGTGAACTGTTGAGCACGGCGAGCGTGCACAAGAAGCGCAAGTTAGAAGACCCTGCCGGTAAGTGCATGTATCACTGTTGTTATTGCCTACCAGCCCCATTGAATGTGTTATTGGATTTTTGCTATAGTATTTTACGGCGGTTACACGTTCAACCGTATAAACGTCGTACCCTCGCAATCGCCCACGCCACCTGTCAACCTCTGATTAATGGAGGTTTCATATGTAGACTGACACACATAGTTTACACGGTACTGATTATAGTAGTAGTAGTAGTAGGGGGAGGTTGTGGTATTCTCATGTTGTGAGCACCTGCCGCCTGTGTTTAAATTGTCTGGGATTTTGCCAAAAGGGCATATGGCAGAGAAATTAAATTGGTACATGTAACCAAACGCACAATGACTTACACGATAATATAGGTAGTATGAGAAAAAAAGCATTTATTATTTTTTCACTTCATTTTGACATTGCTATTGCGTATTGTTTTTTTGTGACTAGAGATGAAAAATTCAATGATTATATTGTGCGATAGTGGAGCAGGTGTGTTTTTTTCTTAAGACCGTAGAATCCGTTGAAGAATATGAATAAAAGTTAAAATTATTATTTAAAGAAATATATTGTGTTTTAGCGGAATTTTTAATAATCGGTGAATATTTGTTTTTTTATAAACAAAAGTATGTTTTGGCTTGTTGGCTGGGCTTGTGTTTGACTGGCGATTCAAAGCGGGAATGACTAATAAAGTAGCTGTATCAATTTACAATTATTATTTTATGGTTTTGGTATCTTATGAATGATTGCAATGACGTCATCGAGTAGTAGAGTCGTTTGTTATTAATTTTTGTTTTTCAAATACTTATTTCTTATTTTTCACTGATTTCTTGGTTGATACAGGCAATTGTTATCTGTCAGCTAAGTTTCTGCCATAAGATGTAAAATTTTATTAATTGTTTGTGTAGATGTACCTATTAGATAAATTTCAAGTGTATAACGATTATTCTGACTAATATTGGTTGATGCTCAATGAATACTGTATGATAACTTGTTTAGCCATTTTCCCGCCGGTACAAAAGCAACAGCCATTTGTTAAGTGCAATCTAACCGTAGTAATAACAATAATAAAAACGATGAATGATGTACATAAACGCCATGTCGTCGATTTGTATTTCTTTTTATTGCTGTCGTCGGTCTATATAGGAAAACTCAATAAAATTCGACAATAAGTATTATTGCGTTGTTAAAAATGCAATTTTTTCAGACACGTAATGTCAACTGAATTTGTGACGGCGGAAGTGGTTATCCACTTCACTGTTAATATTTTGTAAGACATATTTTGCAATGCATCGTATTAAAAGTTCAATGTACTTTGCCCTTGACATTCGTGCGTTGGAGTCTGATGTGGAATTTTGTTTAACTATTTTGTGTTCTTTGCTCTTTTGCTATGTTTTCTGAAAACTTTTTAAGGATTACCAAGGAAATGTGAAAGAGCATCCGTCGCGCACCAATTGTGACGATATCGTTGACTGTACCTGGCAGCATGCATCTTTTTTATCATCATTCGTTAATTTATTCATTTATGCGTGTGTTTCATACGATTAGATAAATTTCATAATATATAATTATATACATTGCAATAGTAATTTGATATATTTATTATTGTAATGCTGAAGTAGTAACCATGAAAACAAAATAAGTATTTTTTTGATAACGTCATTATTATGTATGTTTAATGCAGTCTAATCAATAAACTTATTATAATAATAATTATCATCTCATCTTTGGTTTTAAAATATGCACTTTTTTTTTATATAATTATGTCCTAATATACTATTAAAATTATTAATATACACTAAGAAGTTAATTTTCATTTATTTATTTTTTTGTAAAATGTTATAATTATAATAACGAAGAGTGTCATTTTATTTAAATATTAAAAAATGGATTCAAATACAGTGTTTTTACATTTTACTATAATTCGAAGTAAATACTATCATTTCGCTGAGAGTGTTTGTGTTTTTATACTTATGAAGTATGCTAATTCGTTCGAAAACCATTTCTTTTGAATATCTTACGTTGATTATGTGCGAGAGGTTGAACTTTATGGTATGCCACAAGTTATGGTAGGCACCTTTTATATTCGTTATTTGCTTTTAAATCAGTTTCTTGTTTTTTCCTTGCATAACCGAATGTCTAGAACCCATTAGTGTTCGTTTATTATGAATTATTATTTACTAACGTTAATAAAAAAATTTCCTCGTATAGTAATCGTTATGAATGTATATATTTCCACCGATTCACAAAACAACTTTGTGTTTTTGCCAAGTAATATTATTTGACGCATGGGAAAGTACAAACCAAAGAACTTAGACAGACTTGTTCTAAGCGTTTTGGTGCATGTCTCTTTTCTGAGCTGTATAATAGCAGTTTTAGTTGATATTTTAAATTTAATATTATTAACAATTGTAATGGTTTTTTGAAATTCTAAGTATATTCGTAATGGTGTAATAGTATTTCAGAATATTATAACTGAGTCATATATAAAATATTATATTTAACTTATAAAGTTGCTTAAGTGGTTGGTTTTGGTACTGATCTTTATTTTAATCCCGTAATCGTGTTTCATAATTTTTCCACCTTAACTTATTTGTTAATATTGATATGTCGACTGTAAATTAATTATTTTCTGTATTCTAGGCATTGATGATGGAGGTATGATGATAGATGAAGTGACTGAACTGCGTGCACACTTAGAACGCGAACAGAGTCTTCGAGTGGAACTTGAAGAGCAGTTAAAAGACTATGCAGCCCGGTTGGGTGAAACGTTTGTTGACACCAAATCTAAGGAGAGTACTCAGACTACAATCCAATACCATAACACAAATACAGTAAGAAATTTTATTATTTAAAAATAAAATAATGATATTATATCACATATACGTGATCATATTGTACTGCCGACTAGGCTTATAACATTGACACAGTGACACACGTTTACTACATAAGGGCATACACTTTTAGAATTCACGGAAACCGTGTCATAAAACTTATGTCCCAAACTGTAGTTGACTTTTTACCACCATCGCGACTTGCTCTTGTTGTCTTATACTTAACTTAAATTAGTTACCACCGAAATAATGTGTGTGTGTCGCCGTCAGCTCTCTGTTAAATTATTATCTCTAGATATTATTTATTTAATATTTTTTTACTTAATAAGTATTTATATGGTTGTTAACCAATATATATATATATATATATATATTGTTGTGTGACCCTTGGTAGTTATTTTAAGGGAATGTAAATTAAATTGGAAACCTCAGTACCAAAGGTTGATATAGCCTAGCTAGCTAACTCACGGTAGGTCCCTTAGAATACTGTTGGCGGGTATTTAGGCTCAACCCCTAAATAGCGACGTAACAATAATAAAAGTTACAATTTTTAATCTACTTTATTTTATCTGATTTATAGTGTGTGGTCGGTGAAGAAGCCGGCATGGAAATTATTGAAGTGAATGAATCAGATAATCTGGTTGTACAACGAGAACCTGAAGAAGAGAGTGAGCTATTAAAGACTGAAACTGTAGCACCGGAAGATGATAGACTAAAAGTGGCAACAGTTGTTGAGGCGTCTGCAGCCCAGCCACAACCCCAACAGCAGGTACTTCCTTCTGCTCGAGTCTATTTAACTAGTACGTCCAGACAAAACTTGGAGACCATAGTTGAAGCTATCAGACACCTGGAAGGTGATCATCTATTTAGTGATGATCATCAAGATGCTCCATTAGCATTAACTAAACATACAGCTGTCAGCAATCAAAAGTTACTAAAAGTATGGAGAATAGTTTATTTGTCTGTTGAGATTTATTAATATTTAAATTTATAATATAAATTTCTTATTATTTTCAGGTTGAAATGAATCCTTTTCTCCAATTTCATAGTGGTTCTCAGACTTCTCAAGGTACAACGGTAGTTACATCTAACAGCCCTGTAAGACCGTCCAGGCCAGGTGTTATTGTTGGCAAACAAGCATCGTGACTTTATTAAGAGAAAACTAAGTTTAATTTTGTTAAGAATAATAAAAAGAAAAAAAAAAGGAGAGATTGTATGCTTATGTTACCACCAAATTTCCTTTTTATTAAAAAGTATTCTTTTTAAAATTTTGTATAACTTAAATTTTTACCTTAGTGACATTTCTTTTTTCAGCTTCAGATGTTTTGAGGTATTCCTAAACAAAATATTTATATTATACTCAATTTGAATCAATGACTGTGTTTTTTAGTATATATGTAACAAAATATATAAACCATTTTAATTTTACAATTGTGTAATAGACTAATTTATTAGTATTTATTATTTTTAACATAATGAGGTTACACTGATCTTTATAATACTTTGTTAAAATCATTTTCATCAAAATTTGATAGTAATAAATTATGTCCCATTATTAAATTATGATTATTTTTATTATGATAATTTGAAGTTCTGTGTTAAATTGTGTTATCATTAATGGTAAAATTTTAGTTGCCTAAGTAAATTTACTTCTGAAAGTGTTTTCAATTTCAGATATTTCCTTTTGTTGTAACTGTTTTTAGTTTTGCAATATATTATTTTATCATAAAAATCAACTATATGCAATATGAATGTATACGCAGTACTAGGATATAAATAGTTTCCTACATTTTCTTTGGCTTTATTGTTATTATTAATGTTTTTGAAAAAATTTGATGTGTATAGGATTAATTGCTTTTTTATTTATTTATTTTTAATTGTATGATATAGAAATTCATGTTGCTTATGTGTCCATCGTAGGTTCTATAATTTAGTAACATTTTAGGTAGCCCTTCATTTATGTATTGTTTAATTTGTTATAACTAATAGAAAAGAAATAACAATCGGTGCTATCAATCTTAAATTTTTGAAAATGTATCTTGCTAACAATTTTAAATATTTGAATTTTAATTTATGCATATTTTATGGTTACTTTATGATTCAGCCGCTGTAGTTTTTTTACGGTTGATGTTACCTCAGACTTTAGACAATTAGTCACTATATACATTTATGAATTGATTAGACATCATTTTCAGTGACCGTTATGTAGTAAAATGTTACGTTAAATATTTTTTTAAATTTAAATTACATTCTCTGATGTGTTAATTAGGTATCTTTCAGTATTGGCCATGTATTTTTTTTAAATGAAAAATTATTTCATTATTTTTTATATAAAATCTATTGTCCAATGATTAGAAGATTGTGTGGTTTCTATGTTATTAACTATAATAATAATAATATTCACTTAAAATTAAGATTTCTTTTAAAAAGGTTGATATAAATATTTTGAGAAAAAAAAAATGAAACTTTTTCACTTGTCATTCTATATGTATGATTAAGATTTTCGGGGATTGGAGACTGATTATCAATTCTTTGAGTTTAGGACTTGTAAAAAAAATATATATATTTTGAATCCTATTTATTAGAAACTGATCGTTATTTAAGTGTGTGTNTGCCTATGTATATTTTTATTCACTTATTTATATTCTTTATATATATATATATATATATATATATATTTATATATATTTATATTACATCTGTGTAATGTAAAAAATCAATTTTTATATAATTAACACTTATAATAATACAATATTTAATTTCAAGTTTATAAATATGTTTCTGTGTTATACAGAATCTATATATAATTAAATCAGATTCAGTTTTACTATCATACATAGTTTTATATTAACTCCAAAACATTGTATACTTTTTGTTTTGTCTCAGTTTTTGTTTTTTGATTCTTTGTTTAACTTATCAAGTGGATTTATTTTTTTTTACATTTAATGAAAAATTAAACTTTTTTTTTTTTTTAAGTTTTTTCATTTTATCTTTTATTTTTTTGAAATTTTGATGAATAAGTTAAGTTATGTTCATAAGGGTGTTTTCTTAATTATTATTTTGTATGGAGAGCGTAATATTTAGTTGTGATCAATATGCATTAAGTTCATTCATTTATTAATTACTGTATATTTTAAATTATGTTTATCATTATACTTTGTTTTATATTTATACGTAATTATTACTTTATCGATCTCATTTCTGTATGTGAGAGAATACAGTTATTAAGTAATATGATAATTTTCGGTTAATGATTATTTTATTATTATTATTTATAATATTATAAGTTAATTATGGTGATTTCGTTCTTATGTTAAATGATCGATGCTACATTAATGATAGTTTTCGCAATAAACTGATGTGAATCTGTATTGAATATTTACAATATACTCAATAGTTTTATACATATTTGCAAATAATTTTATAATTACAACGACATTGTATTTTATATGATATTAAAACAAAATTTCTATTCTATAAGATATTTTATGAATACTTATCATGAGATAATTGAAATTTGTTGTTCAAAATGAAGAAATGGGTCAATTGTATTTAATAATTTACCTGTTTCCTTACTGAATAATCCATATAAGATTTTAACTCCCAAATTTTTAGATTTTTATAATTATTATAAAAACCTAAAAATTTGAGAATTAAAATAAAAATTATTTTTATTTTGCTAAGTGGGTACTCTCATTATTAATAAAAACTATTATGTATCAGTGTATTAAAAAATAACTCATGTAGGTATTACGATTGTTTTTTTTTAAAATTGAACTTTCAAGCAAAAGTAAGTAAGGATTCTTTTTAGGGAATATAAAAATATTTAAAAACTACGTCTAAGTTAAGAAGTTTTATCTTTACTATGCAATTAATTTTGATTGAGGTATTGTAGTAATACAAAAATAAGCAAAAAAGGTTGTTAGGGTATTTATTTGACCAATGTTGGATATTTGGGGATTTGGTCAATTCAGGAGCAATGAGGTTCTATCGGGGTTGTAGAGTCCGAGGGTTTAGAACAGTAAAGACAAGTAGGTATAAAAAGATATGTATTAAGTTCCTCTCATAGAGGTATTAAACGCTGAGGTATTCTTGTAGTGGCCGGGGTCTTGGCCTCCTATCTGACACCCAGTCGAAGTATATGGCCAAGCACTAACTAGTTATTAATAATTAAATTAAATGATGTTTAAAAAATCTATTGCTTTACCATTCTTTACTCAGTTTATTAATTCTAAATAATTGGGTTAATATAAATTTACTTACTTCTTTTATATATCTTACGTTCAGATTTATACTGTTCCTTTTTAACACGCTTATATTAGTTTCACGTTTTTAATAAATAAATAAAGTATTGACGCAAAAATAATTGTACTTGATATCGCTTTCAAATGTACCGACGACAACACGGGGTCGCGGCTAGTTTGGTCAAAATAAATCAAATAGAAGAATTCTGAATTTTGTATTGAATTCAGATCTTCAAAAAGAAGAGAGACTGAGCGGCTCGCCGATGCGCAAGCAGAACTAAGCCTTTTTATATTATTTTTAATTAGCCCTTCATTGGTTGTCGTCAGCGCATTTAGCGATTCTCAATTTATTATATTAAATTGAACATAACATGATAGTTAATTTTAAGATAAGGTGTATTGTATACAATAATCAATTTAACATTTATATACATATATAATAGCTAATGTACAACAGTGTATATGTTATAACAGATAAATTAATTATTTGTTTGTATAATAGTAATATAAAATACAGAGTATACATTTTTCATTGATAAATGTAAAATGTGCAGCAATGCAAAGCATTAGGCATATTATGACAGTATATATCCTAATTGAAAAGAGCGTCGTAAATTTATGACGACCTTATCCTCCTCATAAAATTATTGCTGCTAAATCGGAAATCTAGTATCGTTTGTTTTTAAATGAAATACGTGTCATTAATATGGCTTCTGTGATCTTACCAAGATCAACCATGAATGACGTGATAAAAAGTATCGATGTCGGTGCGATAGCAGCAACTTAGATTATAGGTAAGTGTTATCTATGATAGTGGCAGTACCCAACATAGTAACATGATTCGAGTACACAAACTCACCGATGTTAAAATTTTAATTACCCGTCGTTTCTATGCAGCCGCAGCGATTTTTATTAGGACAGTTAAGATGGATGATAGCCGTGTCGTTCTCTACTATATTAAAATTTTGTTTTATTTTATGAGTATGATCATGATAATTATCGAACAAAATTAATTAGAAACGTTAAAGTTTAGAAGGCACAGAATCACTGTACTAGAAATACATAGATTACGAAGTTCTTCACTAATAAACAGTGCTATTCATTTTTTGTTAACAATTTGTCCTAAAATAATGATTTCGACGTTTTGTATTATTTATTTCTCAATTTATAAGAGATTAAATATTTTAAGTTTGTCTCTTATACCATAAGAATACAGACTTAATTTTTTTTAAAGGCAATTTGTGTGTTTAAGTTTTTCACATAATAAAAAATAACACAATTAGGGGGCTCAAAACTTTGAATATACGTATAAAAAATTGATTTTTTCGACTTTGTTTTTGAAAAATTTCCGGAAATACTCCGTATTTTAAATAAATTTTAAATTAAAACTTATGCTATTTACCATAAATTAAAAAAAATGTTATTTTGGTGTAAAAATCACTTTTTATTGTGTTGCTAGAATTTTTGTTTCAATTTTAGCTTCGATGCGAAGCTGAGAAGGTATTAATTTTACTATGATGTGTTTTTTTATTTTTTTTTTTATTAATTTTTTTTTTATTTTTTTTTTTGTGTCTGTGAACGCTCAATCTCAGCTCTCGCTGGACCGATTTTGATGAACAATATGTCAAAAGATCACAAATCGTATCTAGTCGAAGACATTACCCTCAAAAATTGAAAAAAATTCCCTCGTTCCCCGTAAACGGGGGAAATCCCCCAAAAAATTACAAATTTAAAAATCGCTAATTTTCGATATTTTTTCAATTTTTTTTACTTAAAATTGCCATAACTTTTTTAAAAATGACCGAATCAATATAATTTTTTTTTTTATAGATACCTTAGATAATTACCTATCATTTTATATATTTTTGTGAACATTTGACCCTTTAACAGCCCAAAGGATGGGGTTTCAAAATGGTAACTTTTTTACAAAAAATTAACTTTTTCAACTTAACTTTTGAAAATGTTCCGGAAAGACTGACAATTTTATATATACCTTAAATTAAAGCTAATGTAATATACTTTAATTTGAAAAAAAAAAATTTGACCTCTGGACTTGTCTTCATGGTGAAA